GCGCGTCCAGGTGCGGATCCGCCGACGGCAGCACGTCCCGGCCCGGCAGTGGTGGCGGATCCAGGACGGCGGCGGCATGGCTGGGCTCGACGTCGGGCCCGTATGGGCTGGCGTTGGGCTCAGCTTCTTTTTTTATTTTAATTTGATTTACGGAGGTGGGCAAAGAAACCGTCTCTGTAGATCACAGATTAACCGTGACCTTTGATTGGAGGCGGTTGCAATGCCCGCCTCCACTAACCCTTTTTGCCCGCCTCCAATAAGATTTCTGTAGTAGTGCACGTACCATGAAGCCGATCGACACGTATTCAGCTGGTACGTACTCAGATTCATGGACTACCTAGTACTACTCCCAACTTCCCAAACTCGTGTCCCCTACGCATACGACGATCGTATGAACGAAGGAAAAACTGCTTATTCCGTTCCGTTATCTAGAAATTTCAATGCATTTTCGTAAGTTGTCAAATAGGGATGGTAATTCAGTGAAAGAGCTTTTTCAAAAACAAAAGCTTAGCAGCTGAAAAGGGAAACTCCTATCTTCCAGTGGAGACCAGTGTCGATTAACTCGGTTCTATCTAGTCTATCCATGGTCATGGTGTCTTTTTTTCTAAAAGTGACAACCTGTGAATTAGTCAGGAACCTTTAAAAGTGAAGTTTCCGGCCTTGTGCAGATTAGTAAGAAGAAAGGGAGATTCAGTATCTAAAGTGCTATGCAAGACCCCTTTTGAACATATCATTTAGAAGGGCGTTAGTTGGTGAAAGGTTGGATGAATGGTCGAATTTGGTCTCCTTAGTTGTGCCCGCCAATTTGAATGGGAATAAGGATAGGTTTGTATGGCGGTTGAGGAAAAATGGTGAATTTTCGACTCAATCTGTATATAGGGAGATCATGAAGGAGACGTTCGGTGGGAAAGATTTGTTCGGGAAGGCAAAGCTCCCACTGAAAATAAAGATTTTTCTCTGTTTTTTAAAAAGAAGGGTCATAGTTACAAAAGATTACTTGTTAAAAGGGATAGAAAGGGGACGTTGTAGCTTTTGTGTTTTAAAGGGGATAGTGAGACATCTCTTTTTTGAGTGTCCTACTGTGAGATTCTTGTGGAATGTGTTGTTCATCGCTTTCAATATTCAACCACCCAAAAATAATATTCACTTTATTTGGCACATGGCTTAGGAATTTTAGTCCAAGTTCGCGAAGCCAGATGATTGTGAGTTTGGTGGCGATGTGCTGGGCTTTTTGGTTGAGTAGAATGATACAGTGTTCGACAAGCACAGAGTGGTCATTCGGACATTTTTCCTGTACCAATCGGTTGTACCCCCTGCGGGTGAATGTGGAAGGCCGGAATACATTTATTCTTTAATCTAAAGAAGGCTGGTTCAAGTCATGCTTTCCAAAGTTTTAATCTCCTATAAACTATCTTTCCTGTTAGAGACGGCTGTAGATTCTCTTTTGTTGCTAGAAATTAAATCAGTAATTTATAGAGACGGCTGCCTCTGCTCATCTATTGCTGGAAATCAGAAATCATCCAAAAAGTCATAAATTCAGGGAGGCCTCGCCAGGTGGCCACACTTTCGTGGTCATAAGTCACACAATTTTTCATGTAAAGGCACACGTGCTACACGTCGGCCGGGACTCGAACCTGAGACATGTGGCCTCACATGTAGCTTCTCTAACCATTCCACCCTAAAGTCACTTATGTCCCTTTATTACCTTTACCCGATTTTAAAATGGGTATTTGGAACCCTAACAAATTCCAATGAAAAAATCTTCAACTACAAAGTTGTAAATATAGTGGAATACTACAACTTTGGTTTTAGTCATTTCTCCATCCGAGGTCATTTGGAAATTTGAATTTTAAATGTGAGAAATTCAAGCATAATGTTCTATGGATAAATGATTTCAAACGAAATGGTTGTCAAATGTATAACTCTTCGAGATCTACAACTTTAGTTTTCATCATTTATCATTTAAAAAATTCAAATTCCAATATGTGAGGACTTCAAACCGAATTTTTGCACCATATATTATTTCAAATGAAAAAGTTCTCAACTATAATATTTTATATCTTTTCGAGATCTATAGCTTTGGTTTGGTTGCTTCTCTATCCGAGATCATTTGGAAAAAAAATCAAAATTTTGAATTTCAAAATGTGAGGACTTCAAACAAACTTTACTGGATCCAAATGAATTCAAATAAAAAATTTATCAACTACAAAGTTGTAGATCTCTTTGATATATACAACTTTGATATTAAGTTTGTCTTCACTCGACTACATTTGGAAAAGTTATGAATTTTATTATGTTGCACCTATTTTTAGAAATGGCTCTAGATTCAGTCGCCTCTGGAAATAAATTTTCTAGAAGCGGCTCTAAGTCCAGCCGCCTCTAGACTTCCCTTTGTAGAGTCGTTTGCATCTAGCGCCAGCTCTAAAGATAGCGACATTTGTAGAGGTAGCTAAAAATAGCAATCGTTCTTATAAATGTATTTCTAGAGGTGGCTCGTTTCAGAAACTGTTTTTATAGGCGGTTCTAAATTAAACCGCCTCTATTCATAAAATGAGGAGTCTTTACAAATTATATCCGTAGTAGTGTACCATTAAAAAAACTAACACTAGCAGCTAGCTAGCTGTTTGAGTTACAGAATGGGCCGGCTAGAATAGAGAGGCAAGCTAGCAGGGCCGACTAGTTGACATGCACCTAAACAAACAAGTTGACTCTTGAATTAAAAGCAATACATGTACTGATCAATGACCTCCTGGCTTGAATATAGATGCATGATTTATATTGTTCAACCGCACATATTCATGCACACGCACACACGCCTCACAACTTTTCAACACCATGAAAGGTCCAAGAAAATTATATAAAGCCAACTCGGCACAAACATATGGATGTTGTAGATAGATAAAGATAAGCAAACCAATGTATTAAAGACATGTAGGGGATGACAAGTACATATGGTCTTAAAAGTTAATCGCCCCTGGAAAAGTACTAGGTGTACATGCATGCGCTGCAGTGACCAACTTTCCAATTCGAGAGGTCCTTGTCACCTCGTTTGCCACTTTATTTATTTCTCACTACTTTTGTACTAGTCCTTTTTTCTTATGTCAACTTGACAAGGACCTCTCGAACAAAGGATATAATTTGTAAACGACGACATTTACTAGTCCTTTATGAAACCAAACGACGACATTTGACAACAACAAAGGATCATGTTGTTCTTTTTTTATGAAAGAAGAAACCTCACTCTTTAATATATATATATATATATATATATATATATATATATATATATATATATATATATATATATAATCGCAAAAAGGATATGTAGAAGAAAAGCCTCTTGATCAACAAAATATCTTCTTTTTTTCTTATACACACACTTTATCTGCTACTAAGCTTCTGTATAGTATAAATTATTACACCATTTAACTGTCTCTTACGTCAGTATAGACTGAGGTGTTAGTTTTAATTTTGTTTTTTAGCAACCATGGACAAACTATTTATTCCGAAATGGAAGCATGTTGCAGAAATGGTTCATTTGCACCTGACACATGTTGCTAACGCAGATAGAGCGAGTATCTATATATAGGCCCAAACTAAGAGCATCTCCAAGAGTGTCCTAATTTTTCTTTCTAAAAACTTATAGTTTAGCAACTCATAAAAAACTATTGGAAGGATTAAACAAGACCATCTCTAAAAGTTTCTAATAATTCACTCCTAAAAACATATTACAAAAGCATATTCCAATCATTCAATGGCATTTTCGTTAATACGATCATCTTCTTCCTCCTGAGGAGAAGCACGTAGATGCATGGCCTTGCTGCCTTGTGCCCGTACCTGAGAACAAGCACGTACAAGTCGCACAGTAGCAGCCACGACGCGGAGCCTTGGGCGCGGCGGCGGCGGCCACACCGGCGCGGGCGAGCATAGGGCCGCAACGGGCACGGCAGCGGCAGCAGCACCGGCGCGGGCGAGCAGAGGGCCACACGGCCGAGCTAGGAGCCACGACAAGCACGCCGACGAGCAGGATCCGCAGCGCCGCGGCGACGAAGAGGTCAGCTGGGCCGCCGTGGACTCGGTGCACCTGAGCACAAAGTCGTTGCCGTAGTAGCCCCGGGGCAGCTCGGGCTTCAAGCGCCGCCGCACGTTCACGGAGAAGAGAGCTTCTGCTCGCCAAGACGGGCGCGTCGAGCTCAAGGACGTCGGCATCCTCGTGGTGATCTGCAGCCTGATCAACCCGACGCCGTGCGCAAGGGAGAGAGGAACACCGGAACTCCCGGGAAACCTGACGTTTGCTTGCAGGATCCGCGCGACAGCAAGGGCGCGTATCTTTGCGCGCATTGTGTCATTTTTTTCCAAATCCTAAAAGATTAGGAGGTGGGATTATGAGCTGTTGGAGATTAATTTTTTCAATCTCGCCAAAAAACAAAGAATTGGGAGAGTGTTTTGGAAACTCTTAGAGATGCTCTAAGAACCTTTTTAAGGGAAGTAGAGAACACAAAACAATACTGAACGTTGTTGTACTATATCCATGCAATGGAATAAATGTACAAAATGCATATGATTAAGTAATAAAACAAAAAAAAATGAACACTGTTGTAGATTAATTTATCCAAAATAATCGTATAAATGCTGACATATCATTAAGTGTGAGTGCTATCGCTTGAAAATGAATGTACCAATTATATGTATGAAGAAACTAATAAATGTACTATATGAATGTAAGATTGAGCAAACGGTGTACCGCAGAGGCCGCCGCATGGACCGTTGGATTTTCCGATCCGACTGCTGGCACACGATGTATCGCAGAGGACCAAGGGCACCAAACCGCCCCGAGGCCCCCGAGCGTCTATATAAACCTCCTGTGCTCGCAGCTCCTTCTCCACTGGCGGTGGCGGGTACTGGTTGGGTCAGCCTCCGTCTCCTTCGGCCTCTCTCTCTCTCTCTCTCACACACACACACACACACACACGAACCACGTACTCTCCGGCGGCGACGCCATGAAGCACGCCGAGAAGCTCCCGTCCCGCGGCGCATCGTCATCGCCGCCGCCTGCGCACCGGCTCTCCCACGCCATCGCGAAGCCGGCGCCGCAGAAGATCAGGATCATCCACGTCCTGGCGCCGCACATCATCAAGACGGAGGCCCGGCACTTCCGCGATCTCGTCCAGAGGCTCACCGGGATGCCACCCAAGAAGGGCTCCTGCGCGTCGTCGGCGTCCACCGGCGGCGACGCGTCGCTGTCGCCGTCGCCGCCGACTTCGGTCTCGTCGTTCGACACGGCGGGCGACGAGGGCCTCGGCGCCGGCGCCGGCGCCGCGGCGGGGATCGACATGAAGGTGAAGGAGCAGGAGGCCGAGGCGTCGTCTCCGTCGGGTGGAGAAGGGGGAGGGTTCCTTCGCGCGCTCGAGTTGGACGGCTACGACGACGGCTTCCACCAGTGCCTCGAGGATTTCCTCTTCAGCTCCTGCGACATGGACGCCGTGGCCGATTTTAATTTCTGATCTCAGGTGCATGCGGGCGGTTTTAATTTCCGATGATCAGGTGCATGCGCTGGCAGAGCCGGGCGTATTTTTCCCATATAAATCTCCTGGTCAGTCACTATGTTCCTGCACTAGAGAGCGATGAGAATTTACAGTTATGTTCCTGCATTAGAGAACGATGAGAATTTACAGTTATGAGATGAAAGATCTCGAGTTTGCTCGGTTTGCAACGATAAATCACCGGACATGTATTTCCATTGTTCGTCTCTTTGGCCATGTTTCATTGTTCCAAAGCTGTCTTTTTGTTAGTTTCATGAGCCCAGTGGAAATGCCGGTTCAGTTTTTTTTATGGTTTCATGAGCCCAACGGAAAAGCCGAATTAGTTTTGTTTTTATTTACAACGAATTTTGTCAGTGTTTGATTCGAACTCTACTAGTCTCTTTACCTCTGAATGCCGCTGCAACTGCAAATGGAAAGGGATTTCTCTGAACTCCGAAGTGTCAATCTGTCAGAATTCAGTTCTTATTTACTTGTTTAGAACCAAAACTTGCGCCGCACGTTCGCAGGGCAAAACAGACATGATCACAAGAAAATAAACACACAGATTTGCGTCTGCTGCAGCAAAATTCTTTTGATTGTTTTACACGAGGTTACCACTGTCTGCCATTCTGCTTTTTCGAGATCGAGATCGAGATCGATCGATCGAGGGGGGGGAGGAGAGCAGTTGCTGCTGTCGCCACTGGTGCTGCACAGCTGCCCTGCTGATGAGAGCAGAACGGCCTTTACATTAGCACACCATCATTTTACATGGAGCACATTGTCATTTGCTCTGCGCGGCATTGAGCGATTACCAGGCCGTATCTTGGAACTCATCAGTTAACTCTGAACAAGCAGTAGTTTTTTTTTTTTTACCTTGTTTCATATAAACTGATGATGGTCATTTGATATTATTGCTCACATTCAGAAAATCAGAATAATAGCCGAAAGGGATGTACTAAGTAAAAACACTCAAGCGGTCGTTATCATTGACAACACTACAGCCTTTACATATGCGCAAGCCTGAGAAAATGACCAAAGAGAAGGAGAAAGGAGCCATAAACAGGAGCTAGGCGTGGAGTTACAGTTAGTACTGAGGCATTAGCTTTCATATTCTGATATCACTGCATCTGCTGTGCCATCACCTGGATTAGGTTGTGGCCCCTCAAGTCTGGTTAAGACATCAGGTGCTCCAGCAGCATCTCTGATAATCTGAAGAAGATTACAGCAAAACCGTGAGAAAGTTGTAATCATCATCCCCCCCCCCCACACACACACACACACACACAATGTTAGGTAAAATAACATGAGGTTTAAAATCCATTATTCATGCAGCATGGGCAAATAAACAATACAAATCGAAGGTTTCAGGGAAGAGTCATTCCTGGCAATCAGGTGGACAATGACAGTGACAGTGAGAGCCAAGTCAAAATGATGAGAGAACACAATAAACAGTTAATCTGGAAGGGTGATAATTACTAGCGTCTTATCTGTGACTGAAAAAAAATACCTGACATGTATTTGTTCAAATTCAAATCATTTCTCCTTCTCTTAGCTATTGTGTATAGCATTCGCCTAAAAGCATGCTGAATGCGTACTCAACTCAATTAAGCGACGTATTTGGGGGCTGTTTCACTCAGCTAGAGCTAGTTATTAGCTGGAGCTAAAAATTAGCCCACACTAGTAGGGGTTGGCCAGCTAGTTGGCTAACTATTTGGAGGCTTGGCTAATAAATTAGTCCACCTATTAGCCCGCTGTTCAGATGGGTTAGAGCTAATTTTGGCTAATTTTTAGCTGGCTATAACAATTAGCCCTTGGTATCCAAACAGGTCCTTAAACTGCGCACAGTGAACGACAATAAACCTTTGTGGCATTCTGATTCAGTTGGTCATCAGCCTTCAACTCAATGAGCTTAAGAATTGAAGTCTGATAAGGGCAGAACAAGAAATTCAATAAGTGCATGAGCATGACAACCAATTTGTTGTCTCTATTCTGTTTGTGGCTCTTGTTTTCTTTAGAAAGTACAATAACTAAACACTGTGTCATTTGTCTTGTGATTGTGCTGACTGCTGAGATAACCATATATCAGTGCAAATGAATTTGGTACCCCTGCAAGTACATTAAAGAAAGTAAGAAACATACCAATATTTCTTCATCCAAGTAAGAGATCATGAATAAGCGTTGAAATGCTCCACCTGTAATTAATAACGGAATGTAATGTAACTACAGAAGTCATGGAATGCAGCTATTATGCAGTCATGCAACGATGGCATGAAAACTACCATAACTATACTGACCTACTAATCTACTATAGTCCAACACTCCAACTCCAATCCGATACAACCAAGCAAATCAAAACGTAAATGAAATGACTGTTAAATTTACATGTAAAAAAGGAATGTCACTTTTAAAAAATCATAAAAGGGTTTTTTTACGACCCTATAAACAATTGGATCCCTCCCAATATTAGGACCGATTCTGTTTCCTAACCCTGAGAGTAAGCCAAAGAAGCATTCCTCAACTGCCAATGTTAACATGTTCCTCAACAATTTAATATTTTGGCAAATAAATTGGCAAGAATCCATTGACAAAAAGAATTCACATAACAAAATCAGTAGTTTCTTTATCTAAGCAGGCAATACGTCCTCAGAAACTAGAAGCGTGTGTGCCTAGTATGCACAGCTTTGCCAAACTGGTGACTAAGATCATGGCGAACCGGTTGGCCCCTGTCCTACCAAATCTGGTATCCCCAAACCAGACTGCTTTTGTAAAGGGTAGGCGAATACATGATAACTTTATGTTTGTCCAGCAGATGGTTAAATGCCTGCACAAGAACAAGAAAAAAGAGGCTCATATTCTCCTCAAGCTTGATATTTCTAAGGCTTTTGATTCTGTTTCTTGGTCATTCTTGCTAGAAGTCTTGGGCCATGTGGGTTTTGGACAGCGGTGGATGGATCTTTTATGTCTGCTCCTGTCAACTTCCTCCACTCAAGTCTTGGTGAATGGGGAGCCGGGTGAGACAATTTTTCATAGGCGAGGTCTCAGGCAGGGAGATCCTCTCTCTCCCATGCTTTTCATTATTGTCATGAATGTCCTAAATTCCTTGATGGAGTATGCTACTCGGGAGCAATTGTTGCAGCCATTGTCTATGCAGCAGGTCCAGCATCGGGTTTCTTTTTATGCTGATGATGCAGTTGTTTTCCTAAGGCCGAGAAGTGATGACTTGTATTTGATGAAAGAGCTGCTGGACCGTTTTGGACATGCTTCCGGACTCCGAACCAATCTGTCCAAAAGCTCGATTTCTCCCATTCATTGCTCTGTTGATGAAGTGGCCACTACAGCTGATATCTTATCCTGTACCATCAAGGAATTTCCATGCACCTATCTTGGGCTCCCTCTCACAATTGGGAAACCCACCAAGGAGGATTTGCTACCAATAATTGACAAGGTGGCAGATAACTTGCCGGGCTGGAAAGCCTCATTAATGAATCGGTCGGGAAGATTGGTAATGGTTCGAGTAGTTTTAACAGCTGTTCCCATTTACCTTTCGATCGCCATGGACTTGCCAAAATGGTTTCTGAAGGCTATTGATAAGAAAAGGAGAGGCTTCCTTTGGAAAGGCCAGGAGCAGGCTAATGGTGGTAATTGTTTGGTCGCTTGGGAAAGGGTGCAGCGGCCTCTTGAATATGGTGGCCTTGGGATCCATAACTTAGAACTCCTTGGCTGCGCTTTAAGGATTCGATGGCTGTGGGCTGAGAAAACTGATCCATCAAGACCATGGGCTGGTCTTCCAGTACAAGTCCCCCGCAAGGCTCAGGCCCTCTTCAATATTGCAGTAGATGCCAAAGTAGGGAATGGTGAGAAAATTCGGTTCTGGACAGATAGATGGTTAAACGGTCACACCTTGGCTGAGTTGGCCCCCAACCTGTTTAATGCTGTCCCCAAACGTACAGCCAAGAGGCGTACTGTTGCTCAGGCACTCCAGAACAGAAAATGGGTAGATGACATCAGGGGAGCTCGCACTGTACCAGTCCTCGTCGAGTACCTGCAGCTCTGGGACTTGGTGGATGGAATTTTTCTGCAGCAACAGGTTCCAGATCAATTTACTTGGAAGCTAGCCCAATCTGGTTTATACACAAGTAAATCAGCTTATGCTGCCTTCTTTGTGGGAGCCATCAGGTTTGGTCCTTGGAGAAGAATTTGGAAAAGCTGGGCGCCTCCTCGTTGCAAATTTTTTATCTGGTTGGTTTTCCACAATCGGTGTTGGACGGCCGATCGCCTTGCGAAGAGGGGATTGCCCCATCCTGAGGCTTGCCCTTTGTGTGATCAAGCTGAGGAGACTATTCATCATATCCTGGTTGGTTGTGTATTCACTCGTCAATTATGGGCTCGAATCTTCCAATACTTGGGTCTCAGTTCTCTATCGCCAGAACCTACAGCATCTCATTTCTCTAAATGGTGGTGGAAGGCAATATCGTCAGTGCCCAAGGCGGAACGGAAGGGTCTCAACTCCCTGATAATTTTGATAGCCTGGGAGGTGTGGAAGCACCGTAACTCATGTGTGTTTGAAAATGCCACGCCAAGCATCCAGGAGGTTCTTAGGGCTGTCAGCACTGAGGGCAATCTTTGGTGCAGGGCTGGAGCAAGAAAGCTCCAGGAACTCTTGGTCAGGGAGCCGGCCGTGGGGGTATAAGGCAGGCGGTTTTTGTCTGGTCGACAAGAATTTAGTTTGTGGCACGCCTGTTTTAGTTAAGTGAATGGGTGTGTGTTGGTGGTGTTTTGTACTTGAGTAGGGTCTACTTAGACTCATGTATTTTATTTCTACCTTAATGAAATGACGCGCAGCTCTCCTGCGTAGTTCGAAAAAAAAAAAAGTTCCAGCAATGATAGTATTCTAACTAGCATATTGCTACAAGAGTGTGAAGCCCTGCATACTTACCAAGTGGCACTTTAAGCCCCTCTGAAACAGCATCCCTTATAGGGCTAGGAAGTTGTTGTAGAGCTCCTGCAGTTTGGCCAAGCAAGCCCTTTAACTGTTCAGGCAATGATTCTTCATTGATTCTGGGAATCTCTATAAGGCCCTCAACGCATTCCTCTTTCATTCTGATGGGGCCCTCAACGGACAATTGAGTTGTCAGTAGGAACTTGCTTTGTATCTGGAAACATAAAAAAGGAAGTTGTTAAATAGTGAGAATGGCAGTGCAACAATAAAATAATCCCCAATCACACAGAAACATTCAGCTTGCAGATAATACAGATACTAATGTGTACTAATTTCAAAAAAAAATATACAGATACTAACGACCTGCTAATAAATGACTTCAGCATAATTATGAAGTATCCTCAGCTTATGGAAGCTTTTGCGCACAATCTATTACTAACACAGATATAGACACTGACTGGTTTTATTATAAAAGGTTAATCCTGCATATTGTAACTTGTAAGCGATACTGACTTGCCAGGCACATAAATGTCATATAGAACCAATAAACTTAAGAATCAAAGATGGATCCCATAAACTATGCAAAAATAGTAGGCTCCTAAAATCTTCTGGCATTACCATATTTAGAAACTTGAGGTTAGATGAGAGCTTGGAGTATCCATCCTTGATCGACACATCAAGTCCCGTAAAGTGTGCAACAGCTGTAGGTGACCTCCTTCAAATTAGAACACACATGCTATCAGGAGAAGCTTGACTTAAAATGAATTCAAGTCAAATGAAATATTGAAATTATAACTTGCACCCAACAAACAGCGACAGGGACATACTCAAACAAAAGACGGGCCGCAAATGCTCCAGGACTGCTATCACCAAACCATTCAAAGTTCCATCGACCTTCCAGAAACGGCGACCTGCAAAGTAAATAGAAGGAATTCAAGTTAATGTAATATGCTTACACAGAAAAGCTATTTTGGTCAGAATGAAAGAAAGTTCATCTCATCTTAGTGCTTAAATCATAGGGTTACTATGAAAATTATCTCAAGCAAGATACAGCACATAATACGTTTTTTGTTAGCCATAACACTTACGTTGTGGGGCGTGGTGTCGGATTCAGGCGTTCAAGTCCAACAATTCGCTCATTGACATCGATCCTCTGCATCTCAGTAGTCTTCCCGCTGACCAAGGCCTCAAAACCCCCAGCATCTTTAAACTGAAATTGGTAAGAAGAAATTCACATACCCTAGTTGAGAAATGCCTCAAAAGTTCAGTATCAACTAGCTGTCATTTCACAAGTCGGACACACAATCATGGAAAAATATCATTTCCATGCTGAGATTGTGGAGAGAAAAAAATCAAAGTGAAATTTAGATTAAAATTGCAGGTTAGAAGTTGACAGTATCGCCTACAATTTGGTACGGTGTGGGGACAAGAGCCTCCCGCAGGCACCTCACAGGAAGGTCAGCAAGTAGTACTAGGCGAGGGACTGAGAAGAGCAGAGGAAGAGCAAGAGCTCACGGCGAGGAGCAGGGACTCCTTGGCGGAGAGGCGCTCCATCTCGCGGGCGTAGCTGGCGGCGGCGCCCCCCTGGAAAGTCTGGGCCGTGGCTCTGCAGCGCCCCGCGGAGTAGCGGGGGCGGCGGGGCGAGAGGCGCACCCGGCCGTCGCGGCGGCCGCGGAAGGGGGCAGGGAGGAGCGCTGGAGAGGCCGGGGTCAGCGCCACGGCGGCCGCCATGCCTGACGAGCTGCTGGGCTACAGATTTCTCTCTCGTGCTACAGTCTACAGACTACTACAGCCGCCGGTGGTGGTGACTGGTGAGTTGCTGTTGCTGCAGGCTGCTGCCTAGGCGACGTGGAAATCGTAAAGAATACTCCTAGACGAGAAAAGTCGTCTGATATTTTTCATTTCGGCCTCCATCTACTTACTCCTATTTCCACCTCAAATGTTTTTATAATGTTTTTCGACAATGTACAGTTTTACACAGCGACAACGTTAGGACAGCCACACAGGTTTGTCATGGGCCAGCAGCTGCTAACTGACCAACAAAATGCAAGTTGCCATCAAGTCATAACATTCAGGGGCATGAGTGACAGATTAACGTTTTCTCAAACTAAAGTTGAAACCTAAAGTTTAATCGACTGAAATCGCAATACAACAGTCTAACCGCCTGAGAGCAACTCTCAGAGTTCATTTAAAATTAGTAGCCCAATTTCACAGTTTAGCCATTATGTAAAATACAAAAGTCCTCAAAAGAGAAGAGATCTACAATAGCTTAGCTATTTTTCATCCTCTATATTCAAAAAGTTGGCCACATCAAGTAACTGCCATCAATTTTCACCTACTTGACTTATTCCTGGCGCTTGAAATAGGATGGGATCACATGTGCTAGCCAATCACAGGAGTTAGGCGCATGGAAGAGAAACCATGCATGGAAGCCGCAATGGCCAGCAGGCACGGCTCGCAAAAGATAGCCAGCGAGAGAGCCGGGATAGCGCTTGGGGAAAAAAAGAAAACAGGATACAAGAGCTGTTGGAAGTGTTTTTTGGCCAATAATCGTCAAACCGGGTTTTAAGGAGCATTATACAAAGGCTGTTGGAGTTGCTCTAACGCTGCAAGGAGAAAAATTCACAGTAGCAAATGGAGAGCACAGGGCATCTCTCATGCCTAGAGCACCTCGACTCTCAAGCAGCACCTCTCCGCTGCTCGGTCTCGCCATGGGCAAAGTGGCACCGGTCGCCGAAATTGCAGGCACCCTTCAAGAAGTTCTCGCAAAGCTTCGTCTTGTAGTTGCTCCTGCCCCCCATACCACCGCCTCGGCCTCCTGCTGGCGCCGCGGCAGCAGATGGGTTTTTCACCGGCATGCTTGCGCTGATGGTGGCGATGAGGTCCCTCACCATGTCGCTGGCTTGCTTGATCTGGTCAAAATTGCCTTCAAGCTCAATGTTCTTCTGGCTGGGGTTAGACTCGTGGTCACGGATGGAGAGCTTGACGCCTGTAACTCTGCTTATCTGCTTAGTGTTGACCCCACCCTTACCAATTATGCCACCGGCAAGAGAGGCATCCACACTGATCTTGGCAGTCGCCGAAGCACCAAAGTTTCCAGCTGGAGGGCCCATGTAAGCTTGTTGCAGAGGTTCAGGTCGGCCTCCATATCGACCACCCATAGGAGGTCCTTCATGAGACATGTAGGCTGGCTTCCCAAGCTCTCTTTCGCTATGAGCGAAGTGGCACTTATCACCAAATTTGCAGCCTTCTGTAGTATTGTACTTGGTGCACATGCGTGTCTTGCCCGTCGAAACTGGATGAGAGGCGCCGGTAAGAGCGGCATGATCCACATGAGTTCTTGATGGCGCAGATACAGCAGGGCTACCTAGATTGAGCATTTTTGCAACTGCCGGGTAACCACCAGGGACAAAGTGCAGAAAATGGCATCCCTCACCAAACGGGCACCCGATGGTACTGCAACATTAAAAGCAGACCATATTATTTATGAAGGTTTATCAAATGATTTAAGTATGCAGGAATGAGCTTTCAATAAGAGATAAAATACCCAAACATCTAAACCATATATTCAGGCATATTGAAGTAACAATAACAAAGTAAAGAAAGCATAATACCATAATATAATAACAAAATGAAATTTGAATCTACTCTGACAAACACGTCCATCACTAAAAAGGAATTTCCAATTAATCAAAACAACAAAAATCAATACCTTGTACCCTGTCTATACTAAATGCACCATAAAGCAAGAGTGGATTGAACGTTGGCTTGTATCGTACTCATAAAATCTTAAGTAACCAGAGGAAAAAGGAAAGTTCATCTACTGAGATATATTAATAAAATAGAGCAGCTCATGTATCACAATTTAGTGTTATTCAAATATTCCATACATCTTTGGCATATATAATAACTTTCAAAGAATTGATTTGCTGTAAGAAGAGTGAAAAAGATACAGGTTACCATTCTGATGTTATTTCGGATACGTTAAGATTATAACCTGAAAAACTTGGTGCAAGGCTTCGATTTGCTTGATTGACCAGTTTGAAATGACTCCGTGTCTGTTGCATAAAATTAATTACATTTTCTCACGTGTTAGAAGTTTGCATTATTGATCTTCTAATCAAGTACGTATATAGAATTTATCTCCAATGTATGTGATGAACGAACAAGATTTTACATGGTAAAAGATTGCATTGTAGTTATCCTGCAGAAGATAGTTACTATACAGTTGAAACAAAGATTAGTAGGGTTTCTACACTGACAAATACCATGTGTCTGCGTCTTTCTTCTTGTTCATTGAACTGATAAACAGTCGAATTGCATTTTGATCAATATTCAAGAGCCACAAGGCGACTTCATTCCCTTATATGCTTCACATTACTATTTCTTCCCTAAAAACTATTCCTCTTTTCAACAAAATACATCTAGAACAGACTTGTGACATTACAGTATCTGAACTCTAAAATGATGTTTCCAGACTTTCAGTTCTAAAACTATTTTTACTGTACCAATATTGTTGTGAGGCACATAGTCCTAACTAGATCCGGGAACATATAGGTTAGCATGTTTCTTCTTGTTCGTTGAACTGGTGAATTGTCCAATTACATTGATCAAGATGCAAGATGCAAGAGGCAAAAGGTACTTCGATTCCCAAATATGCTTCAAATTACTATTTCTTCTCTAAAAAACTATTCCCCTTTTCAACAAAATACCTCTAGATGAGCCTCATACTATTACACTATCTGAACTCTTAAAGAACTTTTCCAGACTATGAGTTCTAAACTATTTTTACTGTATTACTACTGTCGTGAGGCACATAGTCCTAACTAGATTTGGGAACACACAGGATTTCTTAGTACTAGTGGTTACTAAAGGAGGGTAAGTTGCTCAAATAAGAACATGTTAGTGCGCTGCTTACCAGTTAGCACTGACATCATTTTTTATCAGTAGCTGGGTAAAATTGTTTATACTTTTTGCATCTGCATATGAAGCAGATCTAACTGTGATACATTTATATACAAATTTTCAGTCTGCAACCCTGTCTGATTTCTTCAGATTTGATTGTATTCTTTTGATCCATCTTCACACACATTACTCGGAGAGTCAAATACAAAGCTAGACTTTAAGGTTCAATTTAGTAGTCGAAGTTAGAGAGTAACAGCCTAAGCATAGAGGGGAAAACTCTTGATTTGTATTTCAATTTTGGAGGCAACGAGCTACTATTCCACCAAACCACGCATTACTTGAAGCAAGCAAAGCTTGTGATTGAACGAAAACAAAATCTCTAACCAGCCAGGACCCACACTAATCCCCTGTCACGAACACGCCGGATGCGCATCTCATTGCGCACACGGCACGCATATAACAAGCATAATCAAACGACCAACCAGAACAACGTCTCGCTTCGCTCTCGCAGGACACACGCAGATCCAGTCGCCGAAGCACTTCTCGCAAGGGGCGAGGACAACCGACATCTAGTAGAACCAAAAGATCCGAGGCATATAGGTTAGATGTTTCTGGTGGGAGGAGAACTGATGAATCACCTTTACAGCGCTTCCCGCCGGCGGCAGAAGGTACTTTGCCGTCTCCGGCTTCAAATTACTATTTCTTCTCTAAAAACTATTCCCATTTCAGCCTAGCCCTCGCGTAGGTTGGAGATGAGCGCCATACTATTAGGCCCCGATCTGATTCTCTTAAAGAGGTCGGAGGCAGACTAGGAAACTAGGACTGCGAGAGGTTGCTGTTTGGTTTCTTTTGGAGGGAAAATCAACATTATCTACCCTCTAAGCTCCAGAAACAGGTAACACACAGGATTTCTTAGTACTAGTGTGGTTACTAAAGGAGGGTAAGTTGCTCAAATAAGAAGTTTTAAAGATGATTTTATTTTTTTACTTTTTATCATTTTTATCAGTAGCTTTAAAAAATTGTTTATACTTTTTGCATCTGCATATGAAGCAGATCTAACTTTGATACATTTATATAGTAATTTTCAGTCTGCAACCCTAATATGATGCTTTCTTCAGATTTGATTGTATTCTTTTGATCCATCTTCACACAATTAAATGAGAATCAATTACATAAGCTAGACTTTAATGGTTCAATTTATAGTCGAAATTTTATGAGACTAATTATTGTATGTTAAAAGGGTAAAACTTTGATTTGTATTTCAATTTTGTATAACTTAGTTATAGATTTTATTTAGGTTTATGCACGTTAAATATAAATAAATCATACCTAAGCTATATATGATCCAATGAAATGAAATTTTTAACCATAGGACCAACACTAATCCCCTGTCACGAACACGCCGGATGCGCATTTCATCACAATTGAACCATAGAAATTGTAGCTAATCAAACGACCAACCAGAACAACGTCTCGCTTCGCTCTCGCAGGACACACGCAGATCTAAAGTCGCCGAAAAACTTCTGCTAAAGGCGAGGATAACCGACATCATCTAGTAGATCCAAAAATCGAGGCGAACGGCAGATTGATTTTCTATTTTATGATTTTTTATATGATTTACTATGATTTTTCCGCCGGCGGCAGACCAAAATAAATAAAAAGACAAAAGACAAAATCGCTTTCCCTCCATGCTCAGCCTAGCCCTCGCGTCGGTTAAGATGAATGGTTTTAAAATTTGATAGCCCCGTTCCGTCCGCTTTTTAGTTCGGAGGCAAAGAGGACTTTCGTGAAAATTGAGGGAGCTAATGCGGACTTTTTCCTTATTAGAAATGGAGGTTGGGCCTTGGGCCTCGCTCGAGCAGGACGATTTGGTCGTCGCGAAGGATTCGTGTCCGAGCCCAAATAGAAACTGTTCGGTTCAGAACTTCTATAAAAGAATCAACGCTTTCATTTAAGAATGAAATGTAATCAAAATATAGAAAAACTTATTATAATACTACTATTTGAAAGTCCGAGCTATAGTAATAAATTCAAATTCAAATATCTGGGCAAGGGGCCCTGGCCGAAAAGATTAATTGTTTTTGCATTTGCGGGATTTGCTTGGGCCCTATGGACCTGCAAGAACAGAATGGCGACTGAAAAACGCTTTCCCAAAGCGCCCGCTGATGTCATATACGTTTGCCTTATTTTTTTTTCTCGAACGTGCCGTGTAGCACGTATTTTATTAAGAGGAAGTAGACAACACCGAATCAAACAACAACGACTGGCCGATAATCCTAAAATTACCAGCACAATCCCACAAACACAAACGATCTGATGCTAAAGCACCGGGTAGGGCCTCCACCACAAACCCTTATTCGATGATGTATAACTTAAGACAAAGACATTGGTAGCCTAAGGTGTAGGTAGTCGCATTAGCCAACATCCACCAAGGAAGCCAAGGGAGCCTACACGACAACCACGGCAAAAGCATCCGCACAAGAAACAACCACGATGACCAAGCATCCATGAAAAGGACCATTACGGCTATAGTTCAATCATCACACGCTCAATAGCCGAATGAGCGTGGAGACCGACCGACGATGGCCAAATCCACCATCACAATTGAACCATAGAAATTCCGCCAACGAACCGAACGACGAATTATTCAACAAACACCGAAGGACAAACCAATGTGAAGATAGAGTTGAAGCACACATAGGCAAAGTAGAGTAAACTTTGTCCAGGCCAAACCGCAACCGTCATTCCTCCCTCCCCACATGTTCACCTCCTCGGTCCTCGCCACTCTGGGGTCTGCCTACCATGGCGTCCAATCCGCCTCCCCGGCCACGGATTCACGGTGGTGGCGGCCTCCCCCTCGTTTTTATCCTCCCGGTCCGGCGTTTTTATGTGATTTACTATGATTTTTTTGGTGCCGAATCCGCCAAAATAAATAAAAAAAACAAAATACAAAATCACTTTCAAAACTGTTTATAACAGGGTCAGGGAGTTAAGATGAATGGTTTTAAAATTTGATAGAGGTGTTTTGGGGCGGATCGCCCTTTTCCGAGTTAAGGAGGAAAAACGGATCTTCCTTGTCAAAAATTGGCTCCCCGAGCTAATGTGGACTTTTTTCCTTATTAGAAATGGAGGTTGGGCCTTGCTGGGGTTCTTGCCTCTCCCAACGGTTGGCGTCCGTGGATGTCATTCCCTTTTGATGGCGTCATGCAGGATCCGTGTCCGAGCCCGCTCCATCTGTGTTGTGCAATAGAAACTGTTGGCGGTTCAGAACTTCTTTAAAAGAATCAACGTTTTCATTTAAGAATGAAATGTAATCAAAATATAGAAAAACTTATTATAATACTACTATTTGAAAGTCCGAGCTATAGTAATAAATTCAAATTCAAATATCTGGGCAAGGGGCCCTGGCCGAAAAGATTAATTGTTTTTGCATTTGCAGGATTTGCTTGGCCCTATGGACCTGCAAGAACAGAATGGCGACTGAAAAACGCTTTCCCAAAGCGCCCGCTGATGTCATATACGTTTGCCTTATCATTCATGCAGAAATGGAGCTGCTTACTTAAGGAGGTGGACAGAGCTCAAATCATTCAGCTGAAGGAAGAGATCCTGAGATGTGGCTTAAGGAGTTCAAGCCTAGTTCTTAATTATTTGCTTTCAGATGTCGTCGAGATTTAGATCTTTTTGTAATGAATAGTAGTGGCTTTCCTTTTGTAGCTGGTAACCCCAGTATTACTTTGTATGGCACCTTCCTTTCTAAATTAAAAAGCAGAGTTAATCTCTTTTAAAAGAATAAATTCAATTGTTCAATGAAAACGTTAAAAAACCTTGATGGTCAAAGTTTAAATATGTTAACTGTAAAGAACCTAATAATAATAGAAGCTTTTTTAGGAAAAAAAAAGATGTAAACGGTATCCACCGTGCCTCCGTGCATATATGCCATGGATATTTGTCATCTGTCCGATCAACACGATCCAACCGCACATGGTGGAGATGAAAGCAGGGGGCGTGGGAACCACCGATTCCGCATGCGGAGCCTGCGAGGAAATCTCCTAAACACACAGTTAGATCATGTTGACTGGACACATGGCAACTATCCATGGCATGTATGCATGGAGATATGGTGAATATAGTATGCATCCAATTTTTTCCTTTTTTATGTGTGCGTGAATTTGGTGCAGGAGGAGGATATATATCACGATAATATGTGTGGGAGGAAAATATGCAGGGACAAGTTGGGATTTATTTTGATATTTTGATTTTGGGAATAGGTCGAATTGATTGGTTAATTTAATTAATTTGTGCTAGGAACAAGGCAACAAATCTTGATTTTGTTCCCTTTTTTCTGGTAAATTAGGATCAACTCCTTGATTTAGTGTCTTGGAAGTCGGATCCAAATTTTAGCAATCATAACATATGATGAATGAAACTCAAGGACTAGGGCTGTCTAGATCTTTGATTTTATTTACATGTTTTACTGCCTATGGGCTGTGGATCTATTAGCATTTATTATAGCAAAGAAAAGATTGTTGTTTAAAAAAAAGATTGCTTAGATGAAATGTTTTGTCAATCTTCCTTTTTTATATTAGCGCAAATTAAAAGAGTATATAGATATGGATAAGCCTCCACTTCAAGCAAGAATTCATAGCAGATTGTTCCACTGTTGTGAGGTTATATATGAAGGAATTCAACTTCTTAATTAATGATACACCCAACCAAAAAAAAAACTTGGACTGAACTCAAACATCTTTTCTAGCGCTAGAGATGTTATATCCTTTTTTTTTGTGACTTAGAGATGTTATATCTCTTAGAAATTTCAAACGAAGCATGCCGGTCCAACAAACGCTTGCACATTTCCTGTTGAACTGAAGAAGCATATTCAATGTTCTAAAGGTGCAAGAAAGCCACAGCAGCAGCTCCATGAATTTACGTATACGGCGTGCTATATATTTCATCAATCTCGACGCTAGAAAGAAAAAAGAACCACAAACGCTAGCTTGCAGCACTCGATCATGCAGATGTAGCAGCCACTACACGCAGATTATTATGAACACTGAACACGTACGCAGCGCCAAATCCAGAGGGTTGTGTGTGGGGAAGAAGAAGAAAACGCATCGGATAATCCTGACGAAGACGACGGATTCAAAGGCTCCTGGCGATCATCTCCTGACACCGGTCGTACGACTCCTGCTTCTCCAGCAAGAAGTTGGCACGGCACCTCGCGATGAACTGCTCCGCTAGCCGGTCGATCTCGTTCCCGCCGCGCGGCGGCGGCGCCGTCAATGTAGGAGTCGTCTTCCTCCCCTTCGTCGTCGTCGTCCTCCATGACCACCACCTCGTCGGGCATCTCCTCCTCGAGCCAGCGCAGGTACCCGCAGCACTCGCCGGGAGCCGCCGCCGCCGCCGCGGGGGCGACAACCGCGTTCCACACCGACTCCTAGGACGGGTACACGTGGTAGTCCACGTCCAGCGCCATCTCGGCCGCGGTCCGAGCCGGCGACAGGCCGCCGCCGCCGGACCAGGTGAGATGCGGCGGCCTCTTCGCGAAACTGCAGCCGCCATGCCTGCTGCTGCTCCTCCTCTTCTTCGCGCGGTGCTGCTGCAGCTGCTTCCTCCGCCGCCGCCGCGTGCCCCACTTGGTCTTGCCGAGGGCGTCGAGGAGCGCGGACTTGACCCGGGCGAGGGCGCGCAGCACGCGGCCGAACCGCGGGTACACGTGCGACTGCAGGATCGTGCTGATCTTTGGCGAGATGCCGCTGGAGCTCGGGCGGAGCAGCGCCTCCATGTGGAGTAGTCGAGCTGGCCGGCCGGAAGAATGGTCGAGCTGGCACGGCGGTGGAGAGATGGAGATGGGGAAGGAGGTGGATCGGAGGTGTGCCAATCGACGGCGCCCGCCGGTAGTGCTAGTCCATGCCCTTTATAAGGACCGGCCTCCTTGTGTACGGAAAATGTGTCACCGACTCACCGTGGCCTCCGCAGCCATGCCACCATATCTCCGTAGGGCGGAAACAGATATCATATCTATTATATTATCTTTCGGATAATTTAGTTGATTGGTAAATGGTAAGTAGTATATATTTCTGCTTTGGAAAATGGAATGTAGGGTTTAATTTGATCGGTCAATCAGGAATTCAGGATATCGTGATATCGTAGGCGTCCTAATTAATTAACGGAATTTGGAGATCTTGTTAGCAATTTCTCTGCATGCACGCTGCTGTTGTCTTCGATCAGCTATGGAAATTTGGAATTCGCGATGGGGAAGTGTGAGTTATCATCGCGCTTAAGCCTTGCTTGGAAACAAGGATCATCCAAGCAAGATCTTAGGTGGACTAAGACCTTGTTTGGATACTCATGTATTTATTCCAATCCATGTATGTTGGAGTAAGGTTGAGGTGAATACATGGGCATTCAAATAAGCCCATGTGGATTTTTTGTACGTTTAAACGTGAACATGATGGTGGGCTGCAGCAATGTTCGGTGTTGTTTGGCCGTGTAAAATGTACGTTAGTTAGTAGAGAAACGAAACCGTGGTGCACATGCACGTACACACCAGATCAGGAATGTAGTGTATATGACTTCCTCCTCGGTGAAGCCTTTTGTTTCGCTGATTGCTAAAGACAAATGGACTTTCCTCACAAGAAAAAAAAGAACAGGAAGACAAACGGACTGATGATCAGCATCGGTTCAGAAAAATACGAGAAGATTCTACCGTCTGAATGTCTGATCAACTCTGAACAATAGTGCGGCAACTCTGATGTTTTTTTGGTGACAGATAATGTTACTGTATGCATCATTAACATCATATATGGTGTGTCAGTGTCACTATCTGCAACTTGGATAAGTGCTCAGCTGCAGCTCGAGTGCTTGATAGCACGGTGTGCAGAACAGCTGCCCCCTGGCTAGATAAGCAAAACAAGCAGCATCAAGCGGCCATCCTCGCTGTGATTTATCCCGTTTCGTTCAGGAGCAGCGGCGGCAGAGCAATGCAAGGACGACGAAAGAGTCTCTCCTCCACGGAACGTTGCGTGGCCTCCCAACACTGTCTGTTATGAACCCCTGTGGCCTGTTCACACTCCAGAGCTACCTAGGACACCGAGGATCCAGCCTGGCTTTAAGCCAGCCAGCTCTTGTCTTCTTCTTCTTTCTCCTCCTCCCGGCCACTTCGGTTCGTTGCGGCCGGTCGTCGAGTGACGAGAGATCGACGCCATGCATGCATGCATTATTGGCCGCGCTGCACAGGTATGGATGATGGATGGGTGCGTGCACGGTGCACTTGGGCGCTCATCATGCCTTGCGTGCCTGCGAGAGGCCGTGCGAATCCAGTTGTTAGGATACTCTCTCGCGCGCGCGCGCGCATGCATGCGGTGGCTCGCTCGCCATGCATGGAAGCGAATGCGAACTTGCGAAGCGGCCGGAGCCATCAATCATTCGTGAGCTGATGATGTGATGTTGCTTGGGCGCAACGGCAGGAGGGATTCCATCGCATCACCCGTGGATCCGTGACTCGGACCTGCACCGGAATCGGCGCGCGTCGGCGAGGTCGATCGATCATGTCATGCGCTCGCTCGCTCTCTCGCTGATGGCTGCCGGCCGGCCAGCCGCTGCCGCTGCGGGCAGCAGGTCACTGTGCGCGGCGCACGCCACGGTTGTACGTTCACACGGCAGCTCGCGCGCGCGCGCGTCCTCGCCGAGGGACCAGACGAGGAATCCATCTAGAACGTCGCAGGAACCTCCTCTACCTGCTGCATTGCATTGCCAACGGACCAGAGGTCCCCCTCGTTGCGTCGTGTCAGTTGTGATCGATCTAACGACAGAATTCTCCTCCGTCCATTACTACATGAGAGAGAGATGAAATTGGGGGTTCCTGTCCGGCCCGCCACGAAGGATGTCCAGCCTATTGTTCAGGAGGCCGTATCGTATCGTAGATTATTTATTGCTGGTGGGTTTGGTGTGGGAGAAAAACACTGTTCCCGGCTGAAAATTTACGATCGTTTACGAGCAAGCGAACAGCCGAGTAGGCCTCAAGTAGTAGCACACGTTTGTTTCGGAGATTTTTTTTTAAATGAAATAATTGCCTTCTAAATATAAAAAAATTACTAAAATATATTCTATCGCTAATTGAAGTGACAGGATTGAAACACAGCAAATTCTACCGCTAACTAAATTACTCCCTCAATTTCAAACTATAAAACGTTTTGACGTTTCTATGTACATAATTTTTACTATACACTTAGATATATACTACATCTACATACAGTAAGAATAATATATATATACAAATGTCAAAATGTCTTGTACTTTAGAACGAAGGGAGTACTTTTTTTAAGGACACAACTTTTACATACAGCCTCGAACAAAAATGAAGTTATATACGAAAATTCTAGCCTGTCAAGATCTATAACTTTATTAGTTCATAATTCTTTTATATCCATTATTTTGAGACCGATATATAGTCGAAAAATGTTGTGAGTCAAAAAGTTATATAACTCAATGAGCACGATTCCTTAAAAAAATGTTATCATATAAGCCTATACCAAAAACTTTACAAATTTAGGTATATATGACTTAAGAAGGGAGCGAAGAAATCACCTTGATCTGTCCACTTACTAGCACAATATATCTTAGAGAACTTATATCTTTTAATATAACCTTGCATAGGGATAGAATTTACATGAATGTTCCTTTGGTCAGTGAGATCTACAATTTTGTATCTCATAGAACCTTTTTAGCCAATTTAAGGTCAAACTAATTTGTATAGTGTCTAGATCTAGCATAGAAATGGCTTTAGATGAAATGGTCATGAACTATGTACTCCCTCCGTCCCAAAATATCTGTCACTTTTGTTTCCCGAGAAACAAATTTGACAAAATATATATTAAAATATTAATATTTATGGTACATAATTGGTATCATTGGAAAGATCTTTGAATCTAGTTTTTTAATAAATGTATTTAGAGATACAAATGTTGCACGTATTTTCTATAAATTGAGTCAAACTTTTAGCACGGAAAAAAAAAACGACAAATAAATTGGGACAGAGGGAGTAGATGCTTAAAATTTTCAAATAACTATTAACTACATTGAAGCTTATCTATATACATAAAAGTTATGATCTTTTGAGATTCACACAGGAAGGGAACTATTGGGGCACACCCACTTCAATTGGCGGGAGGAGTTTTTTTTTACAATTTTTCGAAAGGGCCAATTGTTTTTTAAAAGACGAAATTTAATAAAAGTATCGAAATAAAAAAAAATCTTACTCCGCTGGCCTAGCTGGGCTTCCCGGCCCCGTGACCGTGACAACCCAGAACCAGCAACCACCGGCGACGTGGGACACGAGGTTCCAGGCCCGGCCCAAAGGTAGCCCATATAAGCCCATCACTACCATGGATTTGGGCCTAATCTTTTTTCATGAAGGATCTGAGATTCTGGGTTATCATACAGCCCAAAGTCCAAGCCCAAACCCCAATAAAGGCACAAACTAATCCAACCCTACCTTCTTCTCCACACCAGCGCTAGCTAGTTCCTAGCGACTACGCACGGCCGCCGCCGCCGCCGTCCCACGCACGCGGCAGCCGCGGTACGTTCTCCAGGTCGCACCGACGTCCGACGAAGAAGAGGGCCCGGGGGGCGCTGGCGCGCATCGCGAGTACCCTCGCCGGCAAGAATCTTTGCAAGCGGACCCTCGAGCTCGTGCGTCTAGGTTCGTCATACTTGTCTGTTGGTCCTGTTCGATTATTACGTGCCCGTTTTCGGTTCTGAGTTTCTTCTTGTCCCGCCGTGAAGATTGATTGTGGGCGAATTTGCAGCCTCGGAGGACAAGTTCCTGAACCGAGGAATCAAGGACGTCGTCAGGAGCATCTGCTGCGTGAACGGAGGGTTAGTTGTTTTTTCAGTCCTTTTCCCTGCTTGTTCAGTGCTTGGTCACTTGTAATTGCCTATTTTGGTAATGTATAGTAAGTCCCAATGATCGCTAGGGCAGTTCAGTTCGTGGCCATAAGCACTTAAGCAGATGTCATACTAAGATTTTACGCATCTTTCTCTTTTAGGAAACACATCATTGCCAATGAATCAGCAAATCATCCTAGAACTAGTAGTATTTATATTGTAATTCATGCAGGTTTTGAACTTAGACCTTTCACATGTAATATATATGTGTATTATACTTGTTGTTATTTTGTGTTTCTATATACCGAATTTCTTGGCAATTGTCCTAGATTCTCCTTGTGGGGTTGGACAGGGGATTCTTGTTGTCATTGATCTGCTTGTTGATTGCCTTGGTGGGGTGGTTTCTAGCGTGAGCGTGGTGGAGAGGAGAGAAAGTGATCTCTATCCGCAACCGCAACCTTGCTGTGACGGGTAGTTCAGTTCATCCATTTCATTGCAGATCCCTTTGCTGGGTGGATGTGACTTCATTCATGTGGCAAACAAACTTGGACAAAAAATATCGAAGAACTCTTGCCATGTGGATGATAGGGACAGAACTATCAGTAGCAGTCCTTTCATGTGCCAAACAAATTTGGGGTTAGACTGAATCGAACTGAACTGCCTGTCTCATGTTATATCCATAGCCGTCTCGCTTCTTAGAAGTTGGGGTTGGGCGGGGGGACAGTTTCTGATGTTATACTTTGTTCGGAAGTAAATGTGTATTCCTGTTTTTCTCATGTGCCTGTTAGCTTCTCCATTTCTTTACACTTCAGATATCAGCTCAGTTCTTTTAACATTAAACTGTGATGGTTTACTTCTTTTAAAAAATATAAATGCTTGTATCTGTATGTTTTTTACATCTGTTAGTTCTTCTCTTCTTTACACTTGAGATATGGATTCAGTTGAACTACAATCAAATTGTGATGGTATACCTTGTATGTTTCATGCTCCTGTTAGCACTATCTGTATGTTTCATGCTCCTGTTAGCACTTTTCTTTTTGAGTTACTGATGTGAATTTGGTTGAGTTAATATCAAATTATGATTTTATATTTCATTCAAAATAGATGCTAAGTATGTTTCATGCATCTGTTAGCTCTCTTTTTTTACACCTAAGATATGAATTCAGTCGAGTTAACATGAGATTGTGATGCTATACTTCGTTCAAAAATAAATGTTTGTTTCTGTATGTTTCATGCCTTTGTTAGCTCTTCTCTCTTTTACACTTCAGATATGAATTTAGTTGAGTTAAAAGAATCAATTTGAGACGCTGGCCTTTGACATTCTTTTTTGTTGATATTCCAGGAAAATGTCAACGAATCCTGATGAACCTAAGAGTCGTGCCCGGACAGACTTTTTGCTCAACAATGAATCAGAGGTTCAGAAGTTTTGGGATGAGAACAAGGTTTTTGAGGCTGATCCTGGCAATGAGCCTCCAAGCCCTGGGGAAAAATTCTTTGGGAACTTTCCATACCCTTACATGAATGGCTTGCTGCATCTGGGCCATGCCTTCTCGTTGTCCAAGCTTGAGTTCGGTGCTGCATACCACAGGCTTCGTGGCTCCAATGTCCTTTTGCCTTTTGCTTTCCACTGCACTGGAATGCCCATCAAGGCCTCAGCTGATAAGCTTGCTAGGGAAATCCAACAATATGGATATCCTCCGGTGTTTCCCGTGGCAGAGGGTTCTAGTGCTGCAGTAGCAGATGCTATCCAAGCTGACCAGGCTGATGTTGTTGCCCCGGATAAGTTTAAGGGGAAGAAGTCCAAGGCTACTGCAAAGGCTGGTGCACAAAAGTACCAGTGGGAGATCATGAAGAGCTTTGGTCTAGATGATGAAGAAATTGCCAGATTTCAAGATCCTTATCACTGGTTGACTCACTTCCCTCCATTGGCAAAGGAGGTTCTCCAGAAATTTGGCTTGGGTTGCGACTGGAGGAGGTCATTCATAACTACTGACATGAATCCATACTATGATGCTTTTGTTAAGTGGCAGATGAGGAAGCTGAAGAAATTGGGCAAGGTTGTCAAAGACATGAGGTACACGATCTACTCTCCGTTGGATGGCCAACCTTGTGCTGATCATGATAGGGCAACAGGTGAAGGTGTGCAGCCACAAGAATACGTCTTGATTAAAATGGAGGTGATATCACCTTTTCCTCCCAAGCTGAAGGCGTTAGAAGGGAGGAAGGTATATTTGGCAGCTGCTACACTAAGACCTGAGACTATGTATGGACAGACAAATTGCTGGGTCCTTCCTGATGGAATGTATGGTGCTTTTGAGATCAACGACACTGATGTCTTCATCCTTACAGCCAGGTCTGCTCTTAATCTTGCATACCAACACCTATCCAGGGTTCCTGAAAAACCAACCTGCTTATGTGAGCTGTCTGGCACTGATTTGATTGGTTTGCCACTGAAATCTCCTCTTGCCTTCAATGAAACCATATATGCTCTTCCAATGCTCACTGTCTTGACTGACAAAGGTACTGGCATTGTGACTAGTGTTCCGAGTGATTCACCTGATGATTTCATGGCACTGCAAGATTTAGTCGCAAAGCCAGCACTGAGAGCAAAGTATGGAGTGAAAGATGAGTGGGTTCTTCCTTATGAGATTATACCAATAATCCACATTCCTGAATTTGGAGACAAGTCAGCAGAGAAGGTTTGTCGTGATCTTAAGATTAAAAGCCAGAACGACAAGGAGAAGCTTGCTGAAGCAAAAAGAATGACATATCTGAAGGGATTTACTGATGGAACAATGATTGTGGGTGAGTTCAGTGGTAGAAAGGTTCAAGAAGCGAAGCCGCTGATTAAAAGCAAGCTTTTGGAAGAAGGCACAGCCGTCTTGTATAGTGAGCCGGAGAAGAAGGTCATGTCTAGATCTGGTGATGAATGTGTTGTTGCCCTCACTGATCAGTGGTACATAACTTATGGTGAGGCTGAATGGAAGCAGAAGGCAGTCAAATGTTTGGACCACATGAATACATTCTCAACTGAAGCCCGTAATGGTTTTGAACACACATTGGGCTGGCTGAACCAGTGGGCTTGTTCGCGTTCTTTTGGCCTTGGTACTCGAATCCCATGGGATGAGCAGTTCCTTGTAGAATCTCTTTCTGATTCAACCCTATACATGGCTTATTATACAGTTGCACATCATTTGCAAAATGGTAATATGTATGGGAAAGAAATATCTTCAGTAAGGCCAGAAGAAATGACAGATGAAGTCTGGGATTTTGTGTTTTGTGATGGTCCAGCACCAAAAAGTGACATCCCTGCTGCTCTGTTGAACAAAATGAAGCAGGAATTTGAGTACTGGTACCCGTTTGATATCCGTGTGTCTGGTAAAGACCTTATTCAAAACCATCTGACATTCTGCATATACAATCATACAGCACTTCTTCCTGAGCACCATTGGCCTCTTGGTTTCCGCTGCAATGGGCATCTTATGCTTAATTCTGAAAAAATGTCCAAGTCCACAGGGAATTTCTTAACTCTCGAAGATGCCATCAAAAAGTACTCTTCTGATGCCACTAGATTTGCCCTTGCTGATGCTGGCGATGGCGTGGATGATGCAAACTTTGTCACTGAAACTGCAAATTCTGCTGTGATGAGGCTTACAAAAGAAATTTCATGGATGGAAGAGGTTACAGCTGCTGAATCTAAATTAAGAGCTGGGCCGCCCACTACATATGCTGACCGTGTGTTTGAAAATGAGATGAACATTGCAATCATAGAAACTGAGAAGAGCTACAATGCTTTCATGTTCAGAGCCGCCCTGACGTCTGGCTTTTATGACCTCCAATCGGCTAGAGATGAGTACAGGCTCTCTTGTGGTGCAGCAGGCATGAACCGTGATCTGTTGTGGCGATTTATGGATGTCCAGACCAGGCTCATCACCCCCATCTGCCCACACTACGCTGAGCACGTGTGGCAGAAGATCATGAAGAAAGAAGGCTTTGCAATAAAAGCTGGCTGGCCAGTCGCAGACACCCCAGATCCTACGCTGAGAATTGCAAATAAATACTTGCAGGATTCCATAGTTTCGTTCAGGAAGCTGCTTCAGAAGCAAGAGTCTGGCTCCAAGAAGCCTAAGAAGGGAGCTGCACCAGCACCTCCAGCCGAGGAAAAGAAGATGAGCATTGGCCTTATATATGTGGACGAGCACTACTCTGGCTGGAAAGAGCAGTGCTTGAGGGTGCTGCAGTCCAAGTTCGACAGCCAAAGTCGCTCCTTCGCACCTGATAAGGAAATAGCAGAAGCTCTGAAGGAGTGTCCCATCGGGCAGGAAATGAACTTGAAGCAAGTTCAGAAGCTGTGCATGCCCTTCATAAAAAAGAAGAAGGACGAGGCATTGGAGGTTGGTCCTCAGGCGTTGGACTTGAAGCTTCCGTTTGGTGAGATGGATGTTCTCCGGGAGAACATGGAGCTGATCAAGAGGCAGCTGGGCCTTGAGCAAGTCGAGGTGCTCTCGGCGTCCGACGAAGCTGCTCGCGCTAAGGCCGGTGAGCATGTTTCGCTGCTGGAGAAAAACGCACCTGGTGTCCCCATCGCCATCTTCCTCAGCAGACAGGGCTGAAAACTGAGCTTGCACCGTTGCTAATAGTCCGAGCATATGGCCCTTTTCTTATTCATTTTGCCGCACATTTAAGAGTCGAATGTTAAAAAGATTGAGCACTTACAGTAACCTTTTGTTTTGGTGAGACCAGCTTCGTGTCTGTCAACAGATTGTCCTTCGGTTTGGTGAAACTAGCGTCGTTTTTCTGTCAACAGCTTATGTTATCCTTTGGTCTGGGGAAACCAGTTTTGTTATTGTCAACACAGTATGTTAAGGTGATGCGGCTTTACTTCATTATGATCTGGTGTGTTCATTTCTATGGTCAGTTTATGTGCAGAAAAATAGGCGAAAGCTCATGATGATCACATCTTGAGTAACAAGGTACAATTCCTTCGTTGCTTGCTATAGCCAGGCGTCCATCTGACATCCTCTTGGATACACACTAGTACTAGTATTTATCTACTCTGATAGGATAGCATGTAGTACTAGAATGTACGCAGGCTTCGATTCCACCAGTATATATGTACGTGCGACGGTGGAGCAGATGCTCCGACTGCTAATTCCGCGAACTTGTGTCAAGACAACCCGAGAAATAGCTGGAAAATTACACCTAAATGCAAAGGATTTAAAGAAATAGCTGAACAAATTTAATAGGTACACCACAATCCGTCATTTAATTAGTGTATAGAAGCACTGAAAAATTATTACTCAAATACAAGGAATTTAGGAAAATAGCTGAACCTGGGCAGGATTATGAATTATCAAGCAATCCCCTTTAACAATTATACTGTAACACCCTAAAATTTGAAATTCTTTTAAAAATAGTAAATTTGATTTAAATATGCAATTATATGTGCAATTCAAATTAGGAAGTAATATTTCTTTTATAAAATTAAAAGAAAATGCAAGAATAGAAACATGTGATGCATTCATGCTATTGCGTATTTAATTCTGTGACGGGTGTTTTATTCAAATGCTAAAAGATTCTAAAAACCTTTTGAAAATGAGTTTGAAAATTTTATTTATAAAAAGAAAAAGGGAAAATTCCTTTTATTCCTCCCTTCCTTACATTCGGCCCGCTCCCCTCTCTTCCTTCCACTCCTCCCATTCTCCTTCCTGGGCCAGCCAGCCTGATTCAGTGGAACTGCTGCCCCAGCACAAATTTCAAAGACTCAAGGCTTCTTTCCCCATGTGCGTCGGCCGCTTAAGCGGCCCGCTTGTCGGCTCTTTCCCCACACTCCTCCCAGACGCCCGCCTGATCGGGCCAGTAATGCCATTTGCAGAGACCGCCGCCCACGCTTGCGCTCCTTGCGACGTGGGCGCGTCGCCCCGCTCCACGGCCTCGTTAAAAGGGAGCCGTGACCCTCCGCGCACCCCTGCTGCCTTTTCCCGCTCTCCTTTTCGCACTTGTTTCGGGCCGAAGAAGCCATAACAACCGCCGCAAGACTTCGCCGGATCCACCGTCGCGGCGAGCGGCCGTTCCCGTCCTTTCGCTGCCGCTGTCGCCCTCAAATGAGCTTTGCCGTGATGTAACGAACCACTTGCCGCCTTTATCTTCTTGTTTTTCGCCTTCAATCGCTAACTCTTGGTCGTCGGTCTTCACAGAACGCCGCCGTCACCGCCACCGTGGTCCGCCATCCTCGCTTCATCACCGCCTCCGATTTTACCTGTGGTGAGCTCTCGCCGTGGTCCCTCTCTCTCCCGACCCTTTTTATTTAGCATTTGGTGGCTTCTAGCACCGTAGCCGCGAGCTCCGAGGACCTTGGCGCACGCCATGGCGGCCACCGCCACTACCCGCCATTCCTCGGCCGTGTTTTTTGTCCTAGGGTGGACTCGCCATCCTCCCCGCATCATCCTCCTCGGCTTCGGTTGGGCTATACACTGTGGCCAGTAGGGGCCTTAACCGACCACGACGGAGAGCTCCTCGCCGCGACAATGGAGAGTCGCCGTGGCAGCCCTCGCTCCCCGTCCGCGCCTTTTTTCTCTCCTCCCATCTGTTCTAGGCCGTCTGCTCTTTGATCACGCCCACGTTACCGATACCCCTTCGGGGGTAAAATTGCTAAAGAGCCCTCCTGTTTTCGCGTAATAGAACCCGCCGTCCTTAGCGTATTTCCTCGAGTACGCATTCTCGTTTTGAAAGCGTAAAGTTCACTGTTTAAGTCAAAAGTACGCTTTCAGATTTACGTAAATGCCATTCGAATCTGCTTTTATAGAATTGTCGCTTTAACTCCGAATTGATCCATTCAAATCGCGTTAGTTTCGTAATTTCATAAGCTACATGTTGGAGCTACTGTTAGACAAGTTTGGAACTTTTTAATTTCATGATTAGAATTAATTAAATATAGGGCTATAGGAAAACCCGTTTTAATCATAACTATCGCATTTTAGCTCCGTTTTTCGTGAACTTCGCGTTGACGTGATCGTAGAGAAACGTAGATTAGTTTTACAAACATTTTATCTTGTTTTCAATACTGTTGGTGTACTGTTCTAATGATAGGAATGTTTGCTTTGCATGAATGCTTTTGGAATGTTGTATGTTGCCGTGTTGGTCGCGTTCAGACGGTGAGGAAAACGTTGGAGACCAAGAACTCTTCGACGACCAGCAGGAACAGCACGAGTTTGTGAACCAAGGCAAGTATAACATGGGCCTTCCTTGATGTCCTATTTCACTTTAATCAATTACTCATTTGCATGTGTCTAATTTTGATACCCGTAAGGACATCCTAGTGATTGTTTATCCTGTTCCTTGTATCCTATGGGTTAAATGCATATGGGTAGATTGCTAGTGCTCTAACTGAACTTGATATACCTGTTGATGAAAGATACTATGGAACAAAGTGAGTAACATGATTTATAACAACTGTTCCATAGGGCGAAAGTGCAAATGATCTTTGTTCATGTTGCTCCCGGCCCTCCTTAAGGACTTATCTGTCGGCAAAAGCTGGGACTGACAGTGCAACCGGGAGAGTCATATGGCTCTGACTTTAGCTCAGTAATAGGACCTTTCCTAGCTGGTTAGAGGTTACCTTTTTGGCGCAAATGGGGCTTGCCACTTTGGGTATAGGGCTGCCTCTGTTCCTATGAGTATAGCCGCGATGGATTTGTGTCATAGTAAAGGGGGGTCCCTACATCTGCCTGCCAAGGAAACCTAGCGGCCCTAACTTGTTAGGGAAACCTATGAAATGGCTTCATAGTGTACCCTGCCCGCTCACCTTGGTAGTGACATGGGAGTAATTAACCCGGTCATATGGGGATCACGACTCGCGGTGAATGTGCACCACCTCTGCAGAGGGTAACAAATCTGTTATAACAAACCGTGCTCACGTTACGAAAGCGACCGGAAAACTCACGTAATAACTGGATACTTGATGATGATCTTATAAAGTTGCTTAGTGATGATATATGGTACATATGACTCCAATTTATGTTCTTATGGGAATTAAATGGGAGCTTAAGCATAACTTGATAATACTTGAGAATAAAAGCTTGACCTATTAAAAATGCTAACTGCAGCTAACTGTAGTCTAACCTTTTGAGCTTCATAACCCCATGTTAGCTTGCTAAGTAATGGAATGTACTTACACTTGTTTATTTTCTTTACTTGGATAAAAATCCTGGATGGGTAACGAGATAACAACGGGTATGAGGATTTCCGAGGATTATTAGGCTTGTGGTCAACCAGTTGACCTTCCTCGTGAAGACGGCCACGAGAGTTTTATCATCTTTTTATTATTCATTTGTGATGTATAAGACTAAGTTTTATTATAACTCGATGTATGAGACACCGTGATGATACTTTATGTAATTTGTCGCCTTGTGTGTGTGATTGATTCCCAGGCACACACGAAGTTTTGTGCATTCAATTTTATCCTTAAAATTGGGTGTGACAAATTGGTATCGAGCCGTGTTGGATTGTAGGGACGCAAGCCTAGTTAGAAAATGGTCGTTTTAGCATCTTTGTTCCTCTGGTTTCTTGCTTACTGACTTATCCTTGTTATTTTATTAAAATATTTATGCTTTTCATATCTTAATCTATTATTTAAAATTGTTGATTCTAATTTCTATCTCACTTTAAATCTATAGATGTCTCATAATCCGAAGACTGCTCGCCTCAGCACCGCCGGCTATCGTGCCATGTTCACCCCGCGTGCCCCACCGGTGGAGAGGGAGATTGTGATCATCTCCGACAACGAGGAGATGGCTACACCGACGCCTACACCTACTCCTACACCACCATTGCCGTGCCTGTCTACCTGTGGTAGTAGCTACACCGAGGAGTCGACGGCTACTTCCCCTACACCTGCACCATCCCCAGCTGTTCCCGTGGTGGACGAGGAGATTGGCTGGAAGTGCAAGTACTACTTCAAGCCAGCTCCAGAGACAGCCTACTACCACACTCTCCTCACCCGCGTGCTGGACGACTACTTCCCCGACTTGCACGCCCATCATCACTACCATCTGCTGCCCGAGTACAAGCACTCCACCGGAGGCTACCTTCGGAAGGTAGAGCTGGTGGTCACCGCATGGAATGATATCATTAATGGACATGAGGTGGAGATCATCCACATGCGTTCCCCCGCCAGAGAGCCCATGCTTTGATGGCATGGAGGATGCAACCTGATGTAATGCCTACATCCACTACCATGGTCGCTGCGTTTGAGGCCATGAGGGAGGATCGTTTCGAGTTCCTTCCTCGAAATGATCATGAGGGTGTTTGGCAGGTTTTGGCTCCACCAGAGAATGATCCCACTTTGGAGGCAACGTGCAGCATGTCCACGCTTATGCGGGGAGTGGATGATGAGGTCAAAGGAGAACTGCGTGCATCTCGTAGAGCGCAGACGCGTCTTCGAAACAAGTGGATGAACTTCGTGCACAGCTGGGACAGCCTTCCATCTACAAGAAGAAGCGCCTGCTCTTCACCATGATTGACACCGCTCCATAGGTGTTAGGTGCCTTGATCTAGATTATCATGTCGTTAGTTCGTGTCCTTATTTAGTCTTGTTGGTCTTGTGAACTTGGTT